GTATCCCAAGGAGGAGAAGAATCTCACTCCTGCTGAGGTTCTGGAAACCAAGAAATGATGGCTGTGCTAAACTGGTTTGCTAAGAGTTAAATACAGTGTGGTAGAGTTGGCAGCAGAGAAGCGATTGTCCTGGGAAAATCTTCCGTAGGGCTGCAGGGTCTGGTTGGAATGATGCTGCCTGCAATGCAGGGGCTCCAGGTGAGCCCAGTGTAATGGGAAAGCAGAGAAGGGTGACAGGATTTAGGAACAGATTAATCTAGATCTTGGATGGAGGTGGTGGGATTTAAAGGAAAAAATAAAAAAAAATAGTTGGCGTGGACTGTTAGGCTAGGGACAGATGGCTGGTGCTCAGGGACTTGCAGGAGGTATGGAAGGAGGTGTACCCAAGCTGCTCCAGGAAAAAGAGTTGGACTAGTGCAAAATATTAGAGCCAATGGTGTGCAGCAGCAGTTGCTTGATGTCACCCAGTGGGGTAGATTGACTTACATCTCTGCATTAGGTCACTGTTTTCAATCGTGATTTAAATGAGCAAGCACGAAATCTCATTTAAGTTGACTTATCAAATTTTACATGTGTACTTTAGTTACCTTTCTAAAAACCTTAGTGTGTATTGTGTACTACCACAACTACTCTTAGCTAACAGACTGAATATGTCTTTCTATTTACACAAATATGCAGATTGCCATTTGCTTTGTTTAATGTTATTTTTTCCATTTTCTGTTAAAAAATGAATGGTGCTTTTCTTATTTGCTTGATTAATTTTTAACTTCTAATTTTCATCAGGCAAAATTTGGATGGAAATTTGAATCCAATTAATGAACAAAAGCAGCATTTAAAATTGTTTTCATTAGTTAAATATTCTGGATATAGACAAAACTTCCTTATCAAGCCTGTTTTGTGACTAAAGCAGACTGATTTTTGTAGAAACAAAGCAAGTGTTATTAGCTGTTTATGAACTAAATTAATTGTTTCTTGTCTCCATGCTCTTGAAAAATCTATTTCTTGTATCCAAAAAAGTCTCTGTTTCTGGAACTCTTCTTGGAATTAAAAAATCCAAAACAAACCCACAAAAAACCAACCCACCCCAGAACAACCTAGATTTCCTATCTACGTGAACACCGCAGTGTCATCTGCGTGCCACAGCTACACAAGACAAACTGTTCTCGTTAGGATGGACTAGTCATGGGCCCATACTGCAAATATTGCTGGGGCAGAAGAGGTGATCTGTGCATCACAGATACTGGAGATGGTTACTTGCAAATTAGGATGGGTGTATGGACTATACGTCTTGGTGAACCTAAGTTACTACTTTTAAAGATTTTTCTTTCCACATTTCTGTCAGTTCCCTGGGTTGGGCTGGCTTCGACTAAAATATTTTCTTATGTATGGGGGAAAATAAAGTGAGTGGGGAGGAGGAGAAAATTGTACAGGAGACCTTAGTGTTGTTAAAAATATATACACATGTATATTTTAGTTTTTAAATTTTAAGTATATGTTTAAGCAAGCTTGGCTTTGTTAAGACAGTGAACATTGAAGCTCAGATTTCACAGAGTGGGAAATAAGTTCCCTAAATTTAGTGCTTCTAACATATGTTTAAGATCTAGGAATCTATTTCTGATATAACTCATGCTAGGAGTTCCTGGAAAGCTCTGTGACTTATGTGGCATGGCATGGGTAAGATTAAATTATAGCTGATTTTCTTCCATTCTAAGATCCCCAGAAGCATCTGTAAGATTGATGGGCGGTATAGTCATTGCATTATATTTGGATGTGTTTCTTTTGCAGGATAGTCTTCCAGTAAATACAAAAGGATTTAAAAATTATTGTAATAGGTAAGGAGGTGGACAGAAAATAATTTGAACTTGGTGTTATGATGCCCTCAAAAGCTTTAGCTAGACTTGGTTTTTGCCAGAAATAAAATGAAAGATATACAGTAGTTTTTTTCCTAGTGGTTAAAAATCAGTGTGGGTAAGGAAATGGACACGATTTCTCTAAATTTGGTATCATGTTATACTGGAGATGAATTTGATTATGCATATGTGCCAGTGTGCTCCTCCAGACAATTTGAAAAATGAGTGTATGAGCATTTCAATATCAACAGATTCTCTACTGTTCTTTAGTAAACACATATCACTATTACACCAAAATGCAAGTTTAGTGTTAAAGATCCTCAGCCACATAAAAAAAATAACAAAATCCTTTAGGGAAAAGGGAAGTTGAAATGTATCAACAAGTGAAAAGCATGAGGAGGGATGGGGGAAGAGTGCTACAGTGAGCTGACTTGTACAGTTAGAAAGGCACACGTGCATCTTCTGTCTTTTGTTGCCTTTGCCCATGTTTCATGTTTAAGGATGAGACAGCAGAAAAGATTTTCAGTGGTAAGTTGAATCTAGTAAAGAATACATGCCCTGAAATTAAGCTTCAGGAAGAAGAGGGGAAAACTGTGCTGCAGACAGATGGGCAACAGAGGGAAGGCAGGAAATATATGCAAACAAAAATAATGAAGTTTGACTTGTTTCCATGGTACAGAAATGTGTCTGGAGGTGGGTTTAGGTAGAAGCTGCTTAAATTCTTGAAAATTAAGTCAAATTACACAGTTGATTTGCAGCACTGTTGTGCAAACTAGCTGGAAAGTGTGTGTGTGTTAGCTCAAAGTTTAGCTGCAAGAGGGTGGCTGGAGTTGCATGTGGAAGGGAGAACTTCAGCAGTGGAATTCTGCAGGAGCTGAAGCATGTGTGGACAATTGAAGGTAGGGCACAAGGAGATGAGTGAACAAATGGGGTGGCTAAACTGTCTAGATTGGAATGAGGGGTTGCCTCTACACTCAGTGCAGTTAGTATGAGTCCTTGCAACAAAACTGGAAAAAAAAATATGAATGCTTCATGAACTTGTAACCATTTAGAAAGTTTTCTGGAGTGGTAAGATTGAGCAAGTACCTACAGTAGCATTTCCAAATTACTGGAAAGCTTGGTGTATTCTCAGTGAACACGTAAAAGGACTTACTGTGACAACACTCAGGATGTTTGTAATAGGAGGAGAAAATGAGTAATCTGGGAAGTCTTTTTAACATATATGCTGAAGTGACTGGTATCTTTCATTACAAATATGTAGTTTTAGGGCGTAGTTTTGAGATCATTTTCAACTGATCTGTAGGCAGATTAGAAGGGGTGCTCCCACCTTTTCCCATTCCCTGACCTAATTGTTGTTGCTTCCTCCCTTGATCCTGACTGCTGCTTGTGTGGCTCTCTGGTTATTCAGATCAGGAACACACTGCCTGCCTTAAAAATCGGCTGGATCTGCAATCCTGCTGTCCACAAAACACACAGGGCGGTGGGGAGGCTGGGTGTGGAGGGCTGCATTCAGGGAAACCGGGGGCTTAAACCAGCATGAAATGACTATGAATCCTAATACCTTGTAAGTGTGAAAACACAGGGTAAATTGTGCAACTGTTACAATCACCTAAAGCTACTGCCAGAGTGTGTTTCTATTTTCAATATCCTATTTTGGGGTTTCTTCACCTGGTACATGGAGCTGTGCCTGGAATTTGTATCCCCTGAGGTTACAGTTGACTTGTGTTTACCAAAAATGAAGTGGTAAAACTTGGAAACGAGCATTTTTTTCTGATTAGTTTATGGTTAATGCAGTGAGACTTTGCTTCCAGTTGAAATAAAGTTACTGAAACTTTAAGTGGGAAATAGTGTTTTTAGGATTGTAGCTGCTTTTTGCTTTGTGTTGAATATATAGCAGGATTTTTTTCCCCAAAAATGTCATGGAAAAAGCGGCTTTGAGCTTTTGTACCTGGGTCTGTATCCCTACCAGGATATACAAGTGAGCAAAGCTAAAGGAGTGTGGTTGGTCCCATGTGCATTGTTTGCTGGTGCTTGGTGCTGGTCAGCTTTGGGGCATTGAGAAAGCAAGGATGAGAACGTCTGTGTTTTTTTTAAAAGACCTTGGCACAAAATGGGCTTGTTGACTTTGTCTTGTTGAGAATGAGCAAAATGAATTTGGAAAATAAATAAGAGGGCTACACAGAGGAAGAAATGCTTCAAAAGAGGAGGTGTAATGTCTTAAATACCTCCTAATTCAAAGAAAGGTTTGCATGAAATGATTTTGAGAGGCAACCCTGACATAAGTAGATGGGTTAGTGGTAACTTAGTCCATACTTTGCGATGCTCCATTAATCTGAGACAGGCTCTTCTGAGGCTGCTAAAATAGTTATGACTTACTGTGGCATATGTAACCCTGCTGTTTGATCAGCGCTGTGCAGCCTGTAGGGAGGATCTCGAGTATTATGTTGTGCTTTCCAACTGGGGTATCTGCTTGAAAGCAATAGGAAGATGCAGTGATGCCTGATACCCAGTGGGTGCAGTGGTAGGGTCCTCTTGCTTTTAAGAATTCCTAATGTGGTGTTTAATTTACTAGCCTGCATGAGGACTGCTGCCAAGGCTCCAACTGTTGCATAATGTTACACAGTAGGAATCACTGGCAGATTTCAAACTGGCTATCATTCCAGATCACTCCCACACAAAGGAAATTGTAGCATATATGTAACTCTGAGGCTTTTTGTGGCACTCAGCACAATCTAAAATTAAAAGTGTAGCTAGGAGAACTAGAAAGTTTGCCTGCTCAGTCTGTAGCCCCTCTGCTTGTAGTAGCCTCACCTGCAGAGTCTTGCATGTGGAAGAGAATTCAGACAGCAACAGGTAAGAGCAAAAACCTTGCAAAGAAGCAACACCTCGATTGTTTTTTTAAAACTCTAAGCATTAAAATTGCGAGTATTTTATACAAGATGAAAGAATCCTCTTTTGGCTCAAACTATGTATCATGTTCTGTGAATTCTGTGATTCTCAGAAACAGCCAGACCCTTAATATTCAGACATCACAGGGGGAAATCTTATTTCCCCCTCATTTCCATGCATGCCCGTTCCGTACCCATTTTCTTGTCAGTCTGATTCATAATGTTCAAAAACATTCACTGCATTTTTCCTTCTTCCCCACAGCAACAGCCTGAGTCTGAGACTGTTCATCTGTTCATCCCAGCCTTGGCAGTTGGAGCTATTATTGGCAAGCAGGGACAGCACATCAAACAACTTTCTCGTTTTGCAGGCGCATCTATTAAGGTATTATTACACTGACTATAACTTTCTGCCTATTCTACATGACACTTCCAGCAAGTTTGCACAAGCCGTGCTTTCGTGAACATCCTCCCCAACTCCGTGCTTAGAATGTGATGTGATAAATGGTACATTTGTTTATAAATCATCTTTTAATCTTCCTTAAGACAAGATAATTAGAAGCGTGTTTTCAAACGTCTCCTGAGGTGTGAAATATAAGCTGCAAAGAAAACTACTTTGGTGGTCTCAATTTCTTAGAAACAGACTTGCGTCTTAATGATGCAGTGCTTAAAGGCTTTCTTCTTGCTTTCAGTACAGTGAAAATTGGTGAGGTAAATTCCCCTTCTAAAAACAGCAGCACAGGTGAAGTTTCCTGCTGCTGTGACTGTTCTTGCTCTGTTCCAGATGGATTGGTCTGGGCTGTCAAGCTCAGATGGCTCCATGCTGAAGTGTTCACGTTTTAGCATCACCCTTGTGCTCCAAGCTCCTGGGGTCAGTCAGTTCTTTAACATCATGTTTACCTTGTTACCCAGGTTTAACATCCAGCTGTTTGTGTATTGACATTTCATGTACAAGGTGGTTTGCAGAGGTTGACCTTTCAGTGAAATCCATCTTGGCTGTTGTTAGGGGTTAGTACCAGTTGCAGTCGTAGAAAGGCCTTGGCTTTTTGCTACTGATGCCATTGTGACCACATGTATCCTCTCTAAAAATTGAACATTTTTTCTTTTAATTAGGCTATTCTGTGCTGTAAAGATAATGTTTTGGTCTAAATTGGAAAAAAAAAAAAAATATTAGAAGTACAGTGTGTAGCTTTATGTGCTGTTGGATTGACATTTTCCTACACAGGTAAAGCAAATATTTTCTTCTCAGCTCTTTGTTTTTGATCAGGAGATGTGACCTGTTTAGTGAGTGCTGTGGTGGGGAACTGCCAAAAGTCCAGGGCAGAGGGGCATGAACTGGCTATGCTGAGCTGAGCTTGGTGAAGCCACTGAGGCTGGGCTTGGCTTGGCAGGTGTTCATCTAAGTGTGCAGAGCGAAGTAATTGGGGAGTTCTGATGAATGAGTCTTGTGTGCAGTTTGCTGAATGCTGATCGGTCAACCAACTGATGTGCTGCCCAGTTCCATCCTTTTTTTGAGCAGTATATTAAATGGTTTGTTATACTACCCAGATGGTTTATGTTAGTTGAGCACTAATAATCATATTTTTAGGAAGAAAATGAAATAGAAGAAAGAGAGATGTGCTGATTTTTCTTTATCAAATCTGTCTTGCATGGAAGTGTGATATATCACATGGATTTCCTCTTTCTCTCTCCATTCCCACAGTTTGTATCTAAAGATTAGGCAGTGTATGGAAGGTACTGCTAGGTGGAGAGAGAAATGTGAAACAACCTGGACCTCCAAGAACTCATCCAACCTAGTTTTTCAGTTGGTCCTTGAAAGGGAGTTTCCAGTGTTTCTCATGCACCTGGCTAACAGTGGCCTCAGGCTTCCTCTACTGGCTGGCACCCCTCTACCCCAATGCATTTAACAGTTCTGTATTAATTGAAATTCAGTTAAAAGTATTTTGAAGTTCTGGTCTTTTGTTCCTTTACTAGCAATAAAGTAAAGAAATTTTTGTGAAAATAGGATTAAATCTTAGCAAAACTATACAGATACAAGGTGTGCTTGCTAAATTGGGAAGTTGTGTGTATGCTTATCAGTTGAAAGCATAACTTCATCTGTAATCTGGCAGAACAGTATGGAGCACTACACTTGCTTCTGTGTGAAAGTATTAAATGACAGGTGATAAATTATTCAAAGCTTTTTGAACTTCCCTTGTGTTGACCACCTGCCCTTTGTCAAAACTTTGGAGCAAAATAATAAATTGTGAATCAAGGAATCTGTGCTTGTAGCTACGAGTTGGAGGGAGTGCTGCCTGTGAGTAACTTTTAACTTGCCAAGCTGCAGTAATCCTACTCCGCAGAGGAAGTATGTCTCCGAGCATAACTCTTGGTTTGAGTTGTGCTGTAGCTTGTTACAGCTGAGGATGTTTTACATCCCCATACATCTTCTTTGTGCTCATGCTGAGCTTTGTAGATCTGATGAAATTCATTAGCTACGAAGTAAGACTAAAACTGCAGGTGGGCAGGGGTTCTATGCAGGGCTGCAGTGTTCAGGCTGTCAATTCAGAGGTTTATGTGGCTGTTGATGAGCTCAGGTTGTGTCTCTGTGCTGGTGGTCATTGCTTGGCAATGCAGGCTCAGTGTGGGACTCCAGCAGACTCAATTTTTCACTAAAAGAGCCAGGCAGAGACTTCTGGGCTGTTGTCTGCCCATCCTATACTACAGTTGGGAACCCACTGTCATCTCCCTGGTTACAAATTCTTTCCAGAGTAGCCCTTCCTGATGATGGAATGTTTTGGAAGTATGAAGTTGTCAGTTTGTGGCTTGGCATATGGAAGATTGGTTGTTTCTGGCTAGGACTGTAAAATTATTTAATTTCCCAAGTTAAATTCACCACTTCTATACTATTTGTATGTATATAACTACTTTTTCCAAGACCAGGTGACAAAATTAACACAGAAGACTCTTAGGTTACCCCTTCAGAAATTGAAATGTTAGTGATATGTATTTCTTTCACAGCCCTCAGCCATGTTTTACCCCAGCTTCTGAGAACAGAACATTCTAAGATAAAAGCAAAGAAAGATATGTCCCAGAACATTTGAACGCATGTAAAATATAATGAAGGCTTGATGGAAAATATTTTTCTTAACATTTCAATAAAGGTGCTGGTGCTCACTAAGAAAAACATGATGTGACTGGAAAAAAAACTACAGCGGCCAATTTTCATGAATGACAGTTCAGGCTGAGCTCTGTGCAGTCAGTTGCCTCTAAATGTGCCTTGAAATTCTGGCCCTTTAAAATACTTGTTTTCCAAAGAATGAATGAATTTAGTCTGTGCTTGCTCTTACCACAACGTCATGTCACAAAAGTGGACTGCTGTAAAATTAGTGTATTTTTAGATATATCCACTTGAAATGCAGAAATCTTGAAAAACAGATATGCAAACCAGATAACTAGGATGTAATGCCTTCTGTATCTTAGGGTACAATATGAATAGTTTTAGAAACTTTCCTTAGCAAAATTCTTTATTGAAAATGATGCATGGTGACTGGTAATTTGTCTGAAATAAACTACAGCTGTAAAATATGAATAACATCCCTATGCCAACAGCTGAGATGAAATTCTGTAGTGTTTAATATATTGCTCATTCAACAGCAGCTATGTAATACTAGATGCAACAATGGAAATGTCAGTTGCGATAAACAAAAGATTCATTTGGAATGTCAGAGGCTAGTTTGAATTATTTAATGCCGCTGGAGTCTGAGAACACCACCCACAGAAATTTTACTGTTGTGGTGACATGAACTGCTAAAGACCCTGCAGGCATCTCTGTCTCAGCTCTGGTGGAGCTTAATTTTTATTTGGGTCACACAAATGTCTGTAGATACAAACCCCTTGGAAACTGTGAACTCATTGTCCAGTATAGAGGAATGTTTTGGATCCGATTAGTTACAACAGTAAAGTGATCTTCTGTTCTCAGGGTGACGAATGCAACTTTTTGCTAATGAGCAAAACTCATTCAAGCTAATGGGTAGGGATGAGAATCTCAGTTTATTAACTGTGTTTATCTTTTCGAAGGCTACATGTCTGATACCGCTCATAGCCACGTGAAAATGGCATGTGGGATTCTGCCATATGTGGATGAGTTGCTGTGTCTTTAATTTTCAGAAGTAAATTTGCTTATGGTTTAGCCAGTTTCTCTGTATGACATTATGGCTAATTAATGCACTTTAAAGAGAATAAACCCGTCATGACTGAAGTGTGATGCTGCTGCTGTAACGAATAATTTTTCACTCTTGAACAGAATGTGAGACTGAAGTGGGGAGGAGGTGGCTTTAAACTATTCCTTCAAAAGACAGCTACCAAAAGCTATGTTTATCCATTCCAGATTGCCCCTGCTGAAGGACCAGATGCTAAGCTGAGAATGGTTATCATCACTGGACCTCCAGAAGCTCAGTTCAAGGTACAACATATAAAAACTTGTTAATCTGTAGTGACCTTTGGACCGTGAGGTACGATATTGAAAATAAAACACTTGGTTCCAAACATGCTTTATTCAGAATTTTAGTAAACACTGGGGTTTTGCTTTTGTTTTGTTGAAAAGTGTCTCATAAGAGTATGAGTAATACAGTGCTAGAAGAAACCACATTCTGGTCATCTGAAAACTGTGAGTTTCATGTAAGTAGGAATCCAGTCTAGCAAAAAATATGACCATATTACATTCCTGCTTTTTCCTTTTATCTGCAAGCACCATTTAGTTCAGTCTTTCTAGTTTGTCTTAATATGTGCAACATTTTCATGTGCTTAATTGAAATAATAAAGCTGACAAAATGAGAGATCGAGTCTTCCCAGGTTACTGTTGTGTGCCCAATGGAAAATGCTTTTTGGATAGCTCAACGGATAACTAACTACAAGATTTCTAATTGTATTTCCACAACAACTACAAGTTGATAGTCAACTTGATTATCTCATTTGTGTTTAAATTGAGTTCTGGAGTGGCCTTCTGCCTTACATGCCAAGGGATAAATCTAGTTACCCCAAAAGGAGTTGACCAGGCTAGGAGTGATGCAGACAGCTCAGTGCAGCAGCCTGGCCTCATCACAGATAAGGCCCAGAGCAGATAGAAAGTCACATGAGAGTTTATGTCCAGGCGTTGTTCTCTTGCCTCTTCTTATTTTTGACTTTGTAATTTTACTTCAGGGCATCTAGCAAGACGGAGGCGCATAAACTTCAGGGGTATCTAGAATCAGTTTCAGTAATGCCTTTAGGATTTCTGGAAAAGTATCAGGGCAGGTAACTTTGAAGCTCTGCCTCTGTGATGTTTTCTGTGTGCATGTGGGCTTAGCCACATGGCATGTTTTACATATGGGGTACTTTTATGATCTGGGGTCAGCAAAAGGTCAGATACTGGCCACTCTTTCTTTTCATCAGATATCAAAGGACTTACCCTCTAGGAGTAGCATGTTAAAGGAGATTTGAGCACCCCTTATCTTGACTTTTTGTGTAGGCAAAGTCTTGTCCTCAGGCTTCCTCACTAAGATGGAGTTCTTCTGGCAGCTCTGCTCTCCAACCTGGATCATGCAAAGAGGAAAGTCTCCCTTTTCTGTACCCCATACATAGACTAAAATTACATCAATCAGTCTTCACTTCTCTACACTTGGGCTTTTGCTTGCAAATGTGGATCAGTGTACTAGCACAGTCCATGCTTTTGAGTATGCTGGTCTTGTGAAAGAGAGGGATTATCTCTTGGGGCTTCCTTCAGCTCCAGTCCTTGTAAGTCTTTTGACTACTCTTTGAGCAATGCCCCCTTCACTATGATGGGCAGAGAGAGAGCTGTCCTTTCTTTTATTGCCACTGTTAACCTGAAGCATGCCTTACGGTCAGGGCCAAGCCTCATTAGTGCTCTCCTTAAGCTCTTTTTAAGAAGGATGTTCTTTCTCTTTGAGGATAGGCTATTGTTTTTTGGGCACCAAGAATGTAACTGATGCTCTGTAATCTGAAGAAGTGAGTAACCAGCTCTTGGAGAGTCAGCGTCATCACGGAGACTGAGTTTGGCTTCCTTTCCTTAGTACCTTGTGCTCTGCTGTCTGATTCGTGTCCATGGTGGCCACAGCAGCTGTGCCCCTTCTTCCTCAGCTGCAGTAACCTGAGGATGTTACAGTATGCAGGGCTAGTTATTAGCAAGGGAATGGGAAGAGAATATGCCACTGTTTACAGCCTCTGGTGCAGTGCTCCCTAGAGTTTAGGCATATCCATTGCACCAGTATTCAGGGGTCAGTGCATTGCCTTGGACTGGGGATGTGCAAGTGTAGTGGAATCTAGTGTAGACAACGTATTTCAGCTACCATTTTGCTGTGAAGCAGCTGCAGCCCAGTTAGGTTGTTTCCTTTCCTTAAAGACTTTTTCAAGAGCTGAAAGATTTGGGACATTGGAAGAACATCTACAACCTTTTAAAAGTCCACATCCCACCTTGCTTTATAATTCAGCAGCAACGCATGTTCTTTTGAAGCATCTTGGAGATGCATAGGAGATGATCTGGTTACCATTTCTCAAGAATTCACTCATGACTGTCAGGGAATAAAGAAATTAATATTTTTAAAAGTCAGCAAGACTTACAAGCTTAGTCTTGATGGACATTCTTCTTGTTATCTAGCACTTCTGTGTTTCCCAGGAAAAGGAACGGTGTGCTGGTTGGAGTAATACTGTTCCCATGGTACTATTTAGATCTAGGCAGTTTGATTTTTCACTTAAGAAAATTGAGCAAGTTCAGGTTTCTTTATTTTTAAACAATATGTTGTAATGGATTGTAAAAGCAAGCTGTTTGTGCTAATTGGAGTCTTTATCCCATGACTTGTTGGGGGCGTTGTGGCTTCTTTTGTTTAGCATCCTTAAAAGAATGGGTTTCTCAGTCAATTAATTGCATTTCGTACTTCTGGGTGTAATAAAAAAGCTTCAGGCAGACAGTTGTTCTTTCCACCATTCTTTACCTGTACAGAAATGCAATGGATACTTTTAAAAGCAATATTTCTACTGAATAGCAGAATAATGATTCCTGTTAAAATGATATTTGATTCCCTGGTTTGGCATGCAGTCTTTACAGCTGGACAGTGGTGCTTCCTAGTTTGGTACAGTAACTTCTTTTAGAGAAATAATGTATTTATTGGGGAAAACACTTTGTCAGGATTGGGTACTGAGAATTCTCCTTTCTGTAGAATTTCTTGAAGTTAACTGGATCCCAATGAGCACATTCTCTAACTGAAAGCACTTTTGCAGGCTCAAGGGCGAATCTATGGAAAACTTAAAGAAGAAAATTTCTTTGGACCTAAAGAAGAAGTGAAACTTGAGGCTCATATAAAAGTGCCATCCTATGCTGCTGGTAGAGTTATTGGTAAAGGAGGCAAAACAGTAAGTAGCTGAAATAAAACTTTTGGTGTTGCTCAGTTACGTTTCTTACTTTGGTGTACACACACACATATAAGGCTTAAAATTTAAGCTAACTAATAGCTAATCCTTTGTTACATTAAAGCAGGAGCTATTTCCTTAGCTGTACTTGTTAGGCTTTCCTTTCTTCTAGTGTGAATTCAAAAAAAGCCAATCTCAGAATGATTTCTTTCATCTTAAAAAAAGGGGGGGGTGCGGGGAGCAGGACGGGAGGAAATAAATAGTCTAACGACCAGTCAGATCTGCAGGACTTTTATTAATAGAAATTTAGTTTTTCCATTTAGAATGAATGTTTCCACTCAAACTCTGCTTTTGTGAACCTTAGCTTGTGTGCTAGGTTTTGCTGTCCAAAACTGAGTGAAAACATAATTTCTAAAGAAGTGCTGGGAAATTAAGACATGTTCATTGTACAAAAAACACTGTATTTTTGTTTCAGTTTAATTGATGGCATTTCTTAGGCTCAATTTATTGTATAAAATAAGGTCACTGAGATTTTTCAATCCTGAAAAGCTGCAGGTGCTCTAGTATTTTCATATGATTATTAGTCAGGAGTTAGATGATGTTTGCAAAGAAACGGCTCAGTCTTGTGTGTCCATCCGTGAGTACAATGAGGTCTCCTAAGTTCAGTGTCAGAAGGCCAATGTGGCCTCTTCCATTACTTGCAATGGTAAGAGGTTTAAGGACAAACACATCTGAGAAGCTGTTCATTTAAAACATTTTTAATAAAATAATGCTGTGCATTTCTAAATAAAATTAGTGTAAATGGGACAAAGACTTTACCCTTACCTCTACTTAACACTATAGAAGACAAGAAGCTACTGAAAATACTTTGCACAAATAGAACTACTCATTGTTCTGTTTGAAGTTCTCCATCTTGTGGAGGTTTCTCGAGGCAAAGAATATAAATACTTTGGCATTTTTCTTCACGACATTATATGAGTTTTCTGACCTTACACTTTTAAACTCAACTGTAAACACTGTGGCATCTATTTGCTTTTTTTAAGTCATGTATTTAACACCTTCTGTGTGTTGTATTTAGTCTTTAAAACACTTCTACAAACCCAGGGAACTTGGTGCTAATTTATGTTAAGAGACACAAGAGGCTCATCTTGCAGAATGCACACTGCTGCATGCTTTCTATTAGTGAGGGGTGTTTTTTAAGTGTAACTTAAGAGGAAGATGTTTTGGTGGTCAGGACCTTTGTGTCTTGATGGTTGTGGAATATTTGTTAGTTTACGGCTTTCTGACTTCTTCTCTCTGTAGGTAAATGAGCTTCAAAACTTGACAAGTGCAGAAGTTGTAGTCCCTCGTGACCAGACACCTGATGAAAATGATCAGGTGGTTGTGAAAATAACTGGTCACTTCTATGCATGCCAGGTAGGAGGACTGGAATGATCTTCTTTATTAGCTTGATGCTTCCATATTCTTTCTTTTAAAACCATGTTCAGGAACCAAGGGGTACAAGATTTTTACTCAGGATATAGAAAGCACTGCTTATCTTGCTGCAATAAACTTTACTCATGCTTGTGAGAGATTTATAATAATACTGCATGGTTACATATGTAAAACAGTCTCTTTAAATTCGTTGGCTTTGACACTGCTAAAACTTTCAAAGCAAAAGAAAACCCAAGTTGTGATTGGACTGAAATTCAGAAGGAATAGAGACACAAATGATATCATGCTATTTGGCAAGAACTGCCCCCAGATATGCAATTTGTCTACATTGCCCCATCTGTTGATTTAATAGCATAAAGAAAAGGATCACAAGATTCATTCGCTCACTTAAGTCTTAACTCAGACCAATTCCTTTTGATATTTTGGTACAGATGACTTGTAGTTCAGAAAGATGGGATGGGAGGGGGCTGGGAAATCATTTAAGTCTGACCTTCTGGATTCCCTGGTGTATAAAAAATTTTTACACTATTAAAACAGTGGTTCTTATAAAACATTAGTATCTCCAGAGGAGTAAAATGAAGGTAATCTGTAACTTCAATAATCTTAGCATAGGTAGTCATCTTCCTATGCTCATGCTTTCTATATTACAGATGTGAAATTGGCTATGGCAGGTAGTTGTGGTAGGTGGAAAAAGAAGAAAAATTAAATTTTAAGTTGTACATCAGGACTAAACCAAGTGGATTATAACTAACAAGTAATCATTGGTCATTCTGTATTTTCTTAATCCTAGTGGCATCTGTTGTTGGTTGTAAACAGCAGTCACTGCAGCATGGCATCATGATGGGCTGTTTTTTCTTTTGTGTCTTTCAGCTTGCTCAGAGAAAAATTCAGGAAATACTGGCTCAGGTAAGAAGGCAGCAGCAACAGCAAAAAACATTGCAAAGCGGACAGCCTCAGCCAAGACGAAAATAAAGGTTTAGGAAATGGCCCATCAGAGACAGATGCCAGACCAAAGACAGACTGTGCGACAGAGAGACGGGTGGTGAGCACCTGTTGAAGTTATGCAGAAGATCCACCAAGCCAATCACCTGTTCGAGGACCAGGCAACCGTTGAACGCTGTCTCTGAGAATGTATTCTTTAGGCTCTCTCAAACTTTTGAAACCCAGCTTTAAAATAAGGACCCCTTCACTTCCCTTTTGTTCTATTCTCACAATTTAACATAAACTCGTTAGTCTTTTTTATTGTTCTTATTATTCCCCAACAATTTTAGAACTTGGTTTAATGAAGCTTTCTCTTCTGAGTTCACTGGTTAAAAAAAAAAAAAAAGAAAAAACTAACAACAACAAAAAAAGAAAAGGCATTGCTCTTATAGGTCCAGTTGTAAAAGAAAAAACACATTTGGAGGGTGGGATTGCGGGTGGGCTTGGGTTAGAGCAAGGGTACTGACAAGAGTTTAAGTGTTAGTCCCAATGTTGAAACAAGTGGCATTTTTTAAAAATAATTTGGTTGCATTTTTACATAACACTGCCATGAATAACCTAAGGGAAGTGTTGAATGGTGTTGGCCAGGGCATAAAAAGATAAATATGCATTTTACTAAACTACCTCAGGCATTTAGTACCTCAATGAGAAATTGTTCCTTTTTTGCTTTTTTTTTTTTTGGTATTTTGTATACTTTATAAAGCTAATAGTTCTTGAGCATTTTATTTTTTTAAAAAAAATTAAAATTTGATCAGCCACCAGCCAGGAGTACTACAGACTTATCGGGGAAAAATATAGTAGAGCACTTCTAGCTGCTGGCTGATGGGAGTAAGGTGGGTAAAAAAAACACAGCCTCAGATTTCCTGAGGGCTTCAACACCATCATTTGTTTAAAAAAAAAATTCAGTGAATGTTCAAAAGATAGTGAATGATGCCAACATTCTGATAGCAGCAATGCCGTTTAGTTTTCTTTTAAGATGGGATGAAAAAGTTTGTGACGGTACTTTTTTGGGAACAGGACAAGGAAGTGATGGCAAGAGGCTGGGGTTGGGGGAAAAATTTAGAAGGCTGCAAGAGGCTGAATTTTTTTTTTTTTGTGCTACTTGATTGAATGCATGAACCCTTTGTGCCTTTGACCATCACTACCTAATAATGCTACATTTAACCATTTGCAGCCCATTTGGACTTTGCCATTTTGTTCAAAGAGCAAGCTTCATCTTCAGTTTGATAGAACACTTGATCTGCTAGAGCATATTTGAGGCCAAGAGGCTCTCTGCTGTCTGCAGATCACATCATACTGCTTTCAGTTACCACGATGGGGGAAGGTCAAACAGTGTTTGATCATTGAAAGATAATGAAAGGCTAAGTTTACATATCCAGCCGCTGTTATGGGCCACACTAAGCCACTTTGAAGGTATTAAAAATGATTGCAAGAAAAAAAAAAAAAACAAAACAACAACCTCTCTAGCCTGGCTTATAATAAATGCAGCAGGATTTATGCACGTTCTGCAACCAACCATTAGAGAAGAACAAAAAAATGTCAAAAGGCAGGGATAACAGGAAAGTTACCAAATTTTTTAATTTCCAAATGTAATTTGAATGATGATTGTGGTAATAGTGACACATTCAAGTTTCTACAATAAACTTCAGTCTACCTCAGTTTAAGAAAAAAAAAAAATGTGGCAACACATGGTGCATAAAGACTGCTGTGTGTGTGTGTGTGCGCGTGCACGCCTGTGTGTGTGTGGTCGACAGAGCCATGCTATTACCTCTGAACCTTTTTTGTGATGTTTTTTTTGTGCATGAGATGATCAGAATCACCATGCTGCACTGATTTGAGGGGCACAGCGAGCAAAAAACATTTGTTTCATCATTTTGTTATCTACCTCTTAGGTTCATGTTGAGATAGAGGCATTACTACATAGACTAGATAATTTTCCCAAAGATCATTGTTGTACAGATTAGATAATTTTGAAAATGGTCTGAAGTGTTTTTCCTGCATCTCTTCTTTACTAATTGGTTTAAAAACCACAAACTTATGTTGTAGTTTTAGCAAAGAAAAATGAGTTTCTTTTCCTTTTTTGACAGTGACCTTCATCTAGCCTTTAGGATAATTTTTTTTCTTACAATGAATTTAAAATTACTGAAGTATGAAAAGTACATAGCATTTTAAATTTTGTTGAGGCTTAAGTCAGTCTGACGTTCCTTTCTTAACATTTGAGAAGGATTTGACTTCGTTATTTTCCATAAAAAATTACTTTACAGATAGGCGCTGCATTTACATCTGCTGATTTAAATACTGTCATCTCTCTTAAATTTCTAGACTTAATATGGTAATTCATGTTTTTCTTTTCAATTGAGACTTGGTAATTTGGAGTATTTGGGAATAGCTAGAAAGTAAATACTGTAAATGATTTCAATATCCACAAAGTATGGATCATTTTTCATCTGTAATGTGCCCCCCAATGCAGCTCTACTTGCCAGATGCCTCTGAATGGAATAAAGAGTTTAACTCCTATCATCAGATAAAGTTGTGTGGTGTTTTTTTAAATGAATGAGGCATAGGGACAGACTGTTCTAAATATTTACCGTGCTTTGATCAAGTTGGTTTTCTGTCCATAATAACAACTGGGTAAGGGTGAATTGTCACCTTATGGGTATTCCATAACTGCTAGGACAACTAGGTTACCATGTTTGCACTTCACAACACAAGCAGTAACTTCTGTGGCTTATAATTCATCTTCTCCCTCCCATCTAACAATGCCGTACAGTCCGTAGTAGAACCTATACTTCAGGGTTTGTCTTGCACAGCTCTCTCAGGCTCATCTGCTGTGGAACAGATGTGAACTCAGCAGTCCTGTCCCAGGACAAATGTGAAGGAATCCTAAACAGGTTTGACGTGAGATCTGAAATGCAAAATTTTTTTTTTTTTTTTTTTTTGGGCATTTTTTTACCCAGTCTTTACTGTGGTGGTTTTGGTGTGATGAAGCTGTGTAATGAACGTGGCCCTAGAAGGTTGGATAGGTAGAACCAGTCACACTAGCAAGCAAATCTGCTGGGCAACCTGTATCTCACTCCAGCCATGACCACCCAAACACACACCACTTGCCTGTGAGGTGGTACGCCAATATATTAGATCCTTGTTTACATTATTTGGAATAGAAATGAGACTGAATGTCTAACTGAATGTCTCAGAGGTGAGATGGAGGAGTTGGGGAATGAAGGAACATCATGAATTACACAATTCTGTATCTTACTGAAGAGAAGTGGAAAACCCAACTTGTTTTCCAAACCCTTGCAGCCTCTTACTTGTCTTCGCTTCCTGGGTCCAACTAGCAGAAAGAGGGAACTGAAGAAGTTATGTCTGTAGAAGACACTGTGTATTGTATTTCATAGGGCACCCTAAGCTCATTTTTTCCATGCCAGTATCAAGCTATCTTCTCAGAACCAGCATCCTGCCATTTGAGCAACATAAGAAGCCTTGCTCTGTACTGTGGATGCATTTGTGACAGCTCAGCTCCTGACTTTTTTTAAGCATTTGCTTAATCATGACATTTTTATTTGCTTCCAACCTTCCAGAGCTTTTATTCCTAAGCTGCAATTTCCAAGGCATGCGCTCTTTGTAATACTTCCCATTAAATGAAGCATGTGTGCTGTGCAAGGCAGCCTGGGCTTGATATGGTATTAGGGTGTAGGATTTTTAAACAAACATGGAAAATTGTGGAGAAAGCACTCAAGCTGGGCTGTAACAGATGTTAGCTCAACTGCCAGACACAAACAGTGCCTGAAAATGAAGTTACTCAAAGGCAGTGCAGGAAATCGGTGAAATGACAACAAAAATTCCACTTCCAATGGTTTCTCCTGTGCATCCATCACCAAGGGATCCTGCACAGAGCCAAACCTGCAGGTACCTCTGTACAAGAGGACTGAATGATGAATCTGTAGACTCATTGCACAAGCTGCTTGATTTATTTTTATTTTACACAGAAATCACCTGACCCATTGACCTAATTCCCCAAATGTTTTCTTTCCAAAAGGGGTTTAATGTTGCACAGTACTGATTATCCTGACTGTCTTGGTTAGTTTGTAAGTCCCCAGCTTTTAACAGTATCAGGCCACAGTCTCACCAAGGCAGGCAAGTAACCTGGCTGAGGCATTGCAGTAGCTCAGCACAGATTGTCAGTGCTTCTCTTAAATGGGTAAGGACAAAGTTGTTTTCCTGGGCTGGCAGTTCTTTAATAGCAACCAGTGGAGGCTCCATAGAACTCCTTTTCACATTATGCTCTAGCAGTAAAGTCAGTTATACCTTTTTATTTTATTGGCTTTTTGCCTCCTCCGTTAATTTTTTTGTCTTGTCTTACAGACTGTTACTCCTTTTCACCTCTAAGAGTCC